TATGACTGTGACATTTGTAATCAATCTTTTGCAGAATCCAACTTTTAAAAGAGCATATGGTTGATCACATGCCTAATCGCAGACCTGAAGAACAACGCCTTCTATGCAATGAATGCGATAAGACATTCACACAATTAAGTAATCTAAAAAAACACATGCTGATTCATTGCGAAGAGCGTCGTTATAAATGTGAAATGTGCAATAAGACATTCAAAGCATCAAGTTCTCTGAGTAAACACATGATGATTCACAATGGAGTACGTCCTCATGAATGCAATCTATGCGAGAAGACATTCACACAATCAAGTAATCTGAAACGACACATGATTATGCACAGTGGTGTGCGCTCCTATGAATGCAACATATGCAATAAAGCATTCACAGAACTGCATAGTCTGAAACGACATATTTTGACGCACGATGGAAAACATCCCTATGAATGTGAAATTTGTAATAAGTCATTTACAGAATCAGGTAGTCTGAAAAAACACTTGCTGACGCATAAAGGAGTTCGTCCATATGAATGCGAAATTTGTAATAAGACTTTCACACAATCAGGTAGTCTGAAAAAACACATGCTGTTGCACAATGGAGAACGCCCTTATGAATGCAATATATGTAATAAGGCATTCACACTTTCTACTACTCTAAAAAGACACATGGTGATGCATAATGGTGTTCGTCCCTATGAATGCAATATTTGTAATAAGACATTCACACAATCAAGTCATCTGAACAGTCATATGGTGATGCATACTGCAGTACATTCTCTTGAATGCAATATATGCAATAAGACATTTACAGAATTAAGTGGTCTGAAACGACACATGCTGACACACAATGGAGATCGCCCACATAAATGCAATATTTGTAACAAGACATTCACACAATCAAGTACTCTGAAAAAACACATGTTGATGCATAATGGAGTACGCCCCTATGAATGCAATGAATGCAATAAGACATTCACAGATTCAGCTACTCTAAAAAGACACATGCTGGTGCACAATGGAGTACGTCCTTATGAATGCAACATTTGTAGTAAGACATTTACACAACCAGGTCATCTAAGTGGTCACATGCTGACGCACAATGGAGTACGCCCTCATGAATGCGATGTATGCAAGAAGACATTCACACAATTAAGTAATCTAAAGAGACATATGGTTATTCATAGTCGTGTGGGCCAACAATTTGAAGGAACACAAGCCACTTCATAGTTGGAAGCCTGATGAAAATCTATGAAATTTAAACATATTTGTTAAATTGGATTTAAAAATTTGGCAACATGTTATAAAATATTCTTGGATATAATAGAATGTATGAATAATGTGAAATATACAGAAAACTTAAAAAAACGACTTTTGATTCATAAGTATGGCAGGAAATGCTGATTGGTTTTTAGCAAAGATAGGTCCAGCTGTTTCGGAGACATGAAGCAAATAGTGCACAAAATTGCAGTATTCAATCATTTTAATTGCATTGACAAAGTGAAAAATTGATTAGATTTTTGCGAAGGCAGGTTTAGCGGTTCGTCATTTGCTCAGGAAGACAATTGGTCAGGTAAACAAGTGGACTGTTAGACAGGTAGATCATATACTAATTAAATATTTATTAATTAAATCAATTATTAAATATCAGGAAGTTCCTTAACTCTTACACCTAGTTCATATATTGTTTTATCTGTTTTGTCATATATATTTTTAGTTACAATGTTGTAATAACCTTGACAAGAGCCTGAAATAATATTTATTAACTTCCCGAAGGAGAAGTTTATGTTTTCACCAAAAAATCCGATTCGCTAATTTTATGTTTTCTCGACGTTTCAAGCCATTCTGAATCGAATGAGACCAAATTTGGAAAAAGTATGTGTGTGTGTGTGTGTGTGTGTGTATGTGAACAGATTTTTTGCCGTAAATCGACGTTTTCTCGAAAACGGCTGGGTCGATTTCAAAAATTTAAAAGCCATTCGATGTATCTCGATGAGGACTATTGTTTGTCAGTTTTGTGTGGCGATCGGCCAAGCCGTTTCTTCGTAAATAGCAGAGAAGCGAAAAGTTTTTCGTCCACGTTTTAGCCCGCAATTCTGAATCGATTTTGAAAATTCAAAAATCGTTCTTAAGATATTGGTTGGGAATCGACCTGATTAGTTTTTGGCAGAGATCGGCCGGGCCGTTTTCTTGTAATAAAGTTTAAAAAAAAAAAAAAAGACGATTTTTATGATTATTTTTTTGACGGTAGATACCATAGTCTTCTAGATCATACTAAAATATTACGGAACTACGACAACTGGTTCAGCTTTAAAAATTCGTCAAAGTTTGCAAAAATTGGTATCGTTTTTTTGGCATTTGTCAAAATTAGACCTTTGATCGACGTTTTCTCAAAAACGCCTGAACCGATTTCAGAAATTTAAAAACCATTTGATGTATCTCAATGAGGACTATCGTTTGTCAGTTTTGTGAGACGATCTGCCAAGCCGTTTCTTTGCAATTTGAAAAAAAGTGTTAATCTTTTCGTCCATATTTAAACTCATTCTACCGAACCGATTTTAAAAAATCAAAAACTGTTCGAAAGATATTAGTTGGGAATGATACTGATTAGTTTTAGGTGAAAATGTACCGAGCCGTTTTCTTGTAATTCACTGTTGAAAAAAAAATTAAGCCGATTTCCATGGAACTTTTTTTGGCGATATACATCATGGTCTTATAGAACTTACTGCAATATTACGGCCTTACGTCAAGTAATTTAATTTTAAAAATTCGTCAAACTTTGCTAAAATTATTATCGTTTTTTTTTAAAGTAGGATTGATGAAGTATATTATTTACACATTTTTTTATTGATTAAGTCGATTATTTACACATATCGGGAAGTTCATGTAACTTGCCTCAAGGCTAAATACCAAACC